TGAGACGATGGCCCAAAGAAGTCACGCCGGAACCGGAAAAAAATCCGGAAGGAAAAAAAAAATAAAAAAAAAATAAAAAAAAAAATAAATAAAAAAAAAAGTCAACGCCGGAATCCGGCGGGAAAAAAAAGTTTTTGAAAAAAAAAAAATTTGTGAAAAAAAAAAAGTTTGGGGTCAAAATTGAATAATTTGTGAAAGTTGGGGTCAAATTGAAGTTAAAGTAAGTTAAGGATGAAATTGGAGCATATTAAAGTAAGAGGAGTAATTTTAGTCCTTTACATAAATCTGGACCATGTGTGGACTTATTGGTAAAGGAGAATATTGTCTGGATCTCTTTATGAATGTGTTGGTTTTCTTTTCTTTCCTTTTTTTTTTTCTTTCTTTTTATTTTTTCTTATTTTTTTTTTTATTTATTGTTTTATAGTGTGAAACCACTTATGTTGTTTAAGTGTCTAAGATGTATCGGGGTATTCAGATGTGACATCTAATTATTTATATTAGGTGAACTTTTAATCGTAGATCTATATATAATTATATGTGTATTTGTGGGGTTGTGTGATTATTGAGTGGTTATTTAATTAAATTTACGATTGAAATTTACCCAATGTAAATAATCAAATATAACATCTAACTTCCCTATGTATCAGCCATTTCAGCTAGGAATTATTTATATAATTACCTATAACTTATTACAATTTAATAATTATCAACTTCTTTGACATTTTTCAAAATATGATTCAATTAGGACTAAAATTTGAACCTATACATCTATCTATTAGTACATGTTAGATATCTTAACTCTTCTCATTAGCGGTCATCGTCACGTATATAAGCATTAGTGGAATCGAAATATTAAGTTTGCGGAGTCTAATGCATTAAAATTTTTGCGAATACATGAGAATTGTTGGTAGGAAGCATGACCCTCTATATCGACTCCAAATTACCTAATAATTGAACTAGCTCATAATAGCAACTAATATTTATATTTAATTAGCCAAGTTTTATGTCATTTACGAAAAGATTTAGCATCATTTAACACTTTGGACTATAAAAATTAAGAATTTCATGGTACAATACTTTGACCTTGTCCCAAGGCACAACTCTGTCTATACTAGAAACCGCCAGCAAGGCCAACAATTCATGCATGACATACACGTGTCTCCTCCTTCTCCTCTACATAAACAACTCAACCCCAACCTCCAAAATCTTCTTACAAGAAAAACCACAACCTTTTTCAGCTACTGAAAAAAAAAAAACATCAAAACTAATGATGGGAAAGAGAAGGGCAATTCTCCTGGCGGCGGCGCTAGTGGCGGCGCTGGTGGTGGCTGTGGCTGGCTACGAAGAGGAAGGAACAAGGTGGGAAGGCGGCGAAGAAGGCGGCACGGGGCGGAGAGAAGGGCAGGAGTCGTTCTTGCTGCAGGATTCAAAGCACGTGGTGAAAACCGATGCGGGTGATATGAGAGTGGTGAGAGGCTTTGGAGGCAGATTTGCAAAAAGCCCCATGCATATTGGATTTATTACTATGGAGCCCAAAAGTCTTTTCATCCCTCAGTACCTTGATTCCAGCCTTATTCTCTTCGTTCGCAGAGGTACTTATTTACTTGCATTTTCGTCCCTTTTTTTTTCTGGATGTGATGTGAAGATTTGGATTTGTTAAATGCAGGGGAGGCAAGAGTTGGTTATATATATAAAGATGAACTGGTGGAGAGGGATTTGAAGATGGGAGATATTTACCGAATCGGCGCCGGTTCGGCTTTTTACTTGATCAACACCGCCGAGGGGCAGAGGCTTCATGTTATCTGCAGCATTGATACTTCTGAGAGCTTAGGGTGGAGCTCATTCCAGGTAATTATTATAATCTCTCTCTCTCTCTCTCTCTCTCTCTCTCTCTCTCTCATATTGGGAAAAATGAATTTGTATGTAATGTGTTGGCAGTCTTTCTACATTGCTGGTGGAACGTACCCATCATCGGTGCTTTCGGGATTCGATCAATTGACATTGTCTACTGCATTCAATGTAAGTCGATACATTTCATCACGAATTTTTCCTTGTGTTAATTATATTTTATTCCAAGATTAATTTGGGAGATGGCCGGCGACTTTCGATAGGTTTCGGAAACAGAATTGAGTGAGATGTTAACTACCCAACAAAGCGGCCCGATCGTGTTCTTAACGAGCTCCCACGCACCTAGCTCGTGGTCCAAATTCCTAGACATGGACCGGAATCAAAAGGTGGCCCACATGAGGAGAATTGTCCGAATCCGACGCGAAGATCTCGAACAAGAGGAGGATAAATCAACTTGGTCTTTTAGGAATCTTTTTGTGTCTCTCTTTGGGAGAAGAGAGGACAAAAGGGGAAAAACTCGTGCAACCGGTAAAGGGCCCGATGCTTACAATATATACGATAGGAAGCCCGATTTCAAAAACGACTACGGTTGGAGCCTTGCTTTGGATGAGGGTGATTACTCCCCCCTTAAGCACGACGATTTCGGCGTCTACCTTGTTAATCTCACCGCGGTAACTAATTCGATTTCATTTCATTTTATTGAAGGTTGCATGATTAGATGAATTGGTAATTTTGATTTGATTTTTAGGGTTCTATGATGGCGCCACATATTAATCCGAGAGCAACCGAGTACGGAATAGTATTGAGCGGCGCCGGGACTATACAAATCGTGTATCCAAACGGGAGCTTAGCGATGAACGCTAAAGTGACGGAGGGTGACGTGTTCTGGATACCGCGATACTTCCCCTTCTGCCAGATCGCGTCGCGGACCGGGCCGTTTGAGTTCTTCGGGTTCACCACATCGGCCCGAGACAACCGGCCGCAGTTCCTGGTCGGGGCGAACTCGCTGCTCCAGACAATGCGGGGCCCCGAATTCGCGGCTGCGTTCGGGCTGACTGAGGAGAGGCTGAACGAGATCATCGATGCGCAGCGGGAGACCACGATTCTGCCGTCCGCCACCGTTTCTCCGCCGGACGTGGCGGCGAAGGTGGTTAGGGATTTTGGTGGTGATGTGGTGATGGGGTTTGATTAGGGATTTTGGTCTGGTGGTGTTTGATGGTTTTTCTCCATTTTCGAATTGGTGTTTCTTTCTGTCAATTTGCGTTGTTTTGTCTTTTCTGTTACGTCGTCGTTTGCACCTTTCGGAAGTTGTGAATAAAGCTGGACTGGTTCCCTCTTTTTATACTGAAAATGTGATAATTAAAATTTTATATATATTTTTTGTCAAAAAAAAAAAAAAAAATTTATATATATTCCAATTAAGATCGAAATTCAAGATCAAGTATATTTACCAAACAAAATTCAAATTGAATGACAGGAATTGAAAAACTTGATTTCAATTTTAATATAATTTCCATCCCCAATATACATAATACAAGTTATCTTGTGTCCATTGCTTCATATTCGAATTTCTTTGTCAATAGTTGTTAGGTGTTGCACATGCACATGGTTAATTGTGGATTGCATCGCTTGCAGAGAGTATACCTTACATTTACATATGCGCACGATTAAGGTCAACTTGAAACTTAATAATACCATATGTTCCGATTATGTCAAATTGAAACTTAATAACACCATATACTGATTACTGAGAATAAGGTACAATATTAAACTCGAGCTCAAGTATAATTTAGTTATGCTACATAAACAGTAATCATTTTAATTTTTTAACTTGTGATGAATGATGATGATAATGACAGTTTAACTTGATTAAAAGATATGTTAAGATATTCAAGGACTCAACTACAATTATGGACTAATTGGAGGGTATTCCAGTAAATTAATATTTCTTCACAAGTTTTCACTCTCCCACATAACACTAGACCTAGCAACTCTTTATAATCTTTCAAACCCCCATTATTGTTTCTTGTTAAGCTTCTCGTGTTTGCCAACCGCGGCTAGGGTTTTAGTCCGACCATTTCTCGTATCTGTATCCCGAGGTGAATTTAATTTCTGTTACTTGTTTAATCCTGCTAATTTCCTCTCATTTGTGTTTAATTTTGCTAAATAATTCATTTATTCGTTGGATTGGAAAACCTGCGGTTTCATTTTATTGCCCACCTACTTGTGTGTGTGTGTGTGTGTGTGCTGTTTCTTCCGAATGGATTTTAGCTATGGTGATCCATATAGCTGGTTCTAGATGATGGGTATTTTGCAGGATTAATTTTATGTTTACTTCAAAAAGGAATAATTATTCCAAATATTTTGTTGATTGATCTCTGTGTATGTGAATTTATCATTATTGATGGAGTTGTTGTAGTAGCTTGGTCTGCATTTTCGTGATTTGATCGTCGGATGGTGTCTGTGTGCAGAATTCCGTTACTACTTTCATTGTAAATGAATCAAATAATTCCGATGAAATTAATCAGAATTTCCTTACTGCTTTCTTCTGAATTGAACGAAATTATTCTGATTTAATTTGAACAAACCCATTGTGATCTCAACAGTTCGTTAAGCATTCACCATGGGCAAAGAAAAGGTTCACATCAACATTGTGGTCATCGGCCATGTTGACTCGGGAAAGTCAACCACCACCGGCCATTTGATCTACAAGCTTGGTGGCATTGATAAGCGAGTGATCGAAAGGTTCGAGAAAGAAGCAGCGGAGATGAACAAAAGGTCGTTCAAGTATGCGTGGGTGCTTGACAAGCTAAAGGCAGAGCGAGAGCGGGGTATCACCATTGATATAGCCTTGTGGAAATTCGAGACCACAAAGTACTACTGCACGGTCATCGATGCGCCAGGTCACCGTGACTTCATCAAGAACATGATCACAGGTACCTCACAGGCTGATTGTGCTGTCCTGATCATTGACTCGACTACCGGTGGTTTTGAAGCTGGTATTTCCAAAGATGGTCAGACGCGCGAGCATGCGTTGCTCGCTTTCACTCTTGGTGTCAAGCAAATGATCTGCTGCTGCAACAAGGTTGGACTTCTTTTCCTTTTTTGTTATGTTTTCTTAGGATTCTATTTATAGCATTCTTCTGATACAAATCTTTAAATAGAGCTTAACTTGAGAAATTGGTATTGGATCTTTCGAATCCCGTTTTGAATCTTTTGAATCATAGTGCATTCAATTCATCGTATGTTAATCATAGATTTGAGTTTCATAGATTTGAGTTTAGAAGATGTTGAACTTTAATTGTTAAATTGGGTATATACCATATTACCATCCTGGCAAAAAATAGTATGTCTACAATGTCTAGTGTTTATCTCCAACCAAGACGCGTAATTTTTCTTAGTTTTTTTCTTAATTATCTTGTGTTAAATATTTAACATTGTGTTGTCAATGATATATCTACAGATGGACGCCACTACTCCGAAATACTCCAAGGCAAGGTACGACGAAATAGTAAAGGAAGTCTCCTCCTACCTCAAGAAAGTCGGTTACAACCCCGACAAAATCCCCTTTGTACCCATCTCCGGTTTCGAGGGAGACAACATGATTGAGCGCTCCACAAACCTCGACTGGTACAAAGGGCCCACACTCCTAGACGCCCTCGACATGATTTCCGAGCCCAAGAGGCCCACAGACAAGCCCCTCCGTCTACCGCTCCAAGACGTCTACAAAATCGGCGGCATCGGCACAGTCCCCGTCGGCCGTGTGGAGACAGGTGTCCTAAAGCCCGGCATGCTCGTCACATTCGGGCCCACCGGTTTGACCACCGAAGTCAAATCTGTAGAAATGCACCACGAGTCAATGCCCGAAGCTCTACCGGGTGACAATGTAGGTTTCAACGTGAAAAATGTTGCGGTTAAAGATTTAAAACGTGGCTTCGTTGCTTCGAATTCGAAAGATGATCCGGCTAGAGAAGCTGCACATTTTACTTCGCAGGTGATTAGTACAAACCACCCTGTTAAGATTTTTTATTTTTTTATTTTAATTTTTTAAAGGATTGTTACTAATTCCTAAATTCTCTTTCAGGTGATTATAATGAACCATCCGGGTCAAATAGGGAGTGGGTATGCACCGGTTCTTGATTGCCACACGTGTCACATCGCGGTGAGATTTGCGGAGCTTGTGACTAAGATTGATAGACGGTCTGGTAAGGAGATTGAGAGGGAGCCGAAGTTTTTAAAGAACGGTGACGCGGGTTTTGTGAAGATGTTTCCGACGAAGCCGATGGTGGTGGAGACTTTTTCAGAGTACCCGCCGCTTGGTCGGTTTGCGGTTAGAGATATGAGGCAGACGGTGGCTGTTGGTGTCATCAAGAGCGTGGAGAAGAAGGACCCGACCGGTGCTAAGGTGACCAAGGCGGCAGCCAAGAAAGGTGCCAAGTGAGAACTGTGCTGCTGGTTCATTGTGTAGAAACTATGTTCTGCTGCTTCCTTGTGTTCGTTACATTGTTTCTTTTGCTGTAAATTATTACGTTATATGTTGGGTAGTTGTCAGCATTGGGTGCTGGATAGGCGGTGGCGGAGGAACTGAGTACTCAGTTGATTTCTGGTTTTTTTGGATGGTAGCTTAAACTCGATTTGTCGTTGAGGGTAAAATTGTAATTGAACACCCGATGCATCTTAGGCTCTGTTGGCTTTCGAGTCCATTTTCCTTTTCTTTCACTACATCGTTGCCCAATCTTAACCAACCCATATCCCAAACTCGTCTATGTAGTAAAATCAAATTTAGTTCTTGAATTACATATCTTTGATTCTTGATATTTCGATACTCTCAGCACTTTATAACTATTTTATATACTATTGTTTAGGGGTGTTAGATTTTAAAGATACTCTTGTATTATTAATCTATTTATTTTTCGCAATATATTATTTAAAAAAAACATTAATTAATTTGTTCTTGATGTTTTTTTTTTTATAAATAATACATTGTGATAAATAAATAGATTAATAATAGAAGAGTATCATTAAAAAGGTTTCCTTGGCCTAAAAAAAAGGTTTCCTAGTACAAACCTAGCCTATTTCAAACTAGTTTCCAACCCCACCCCACCTCCTTTTCCTACTATAACAAGGGATTATTATTAACCTTTCTTATATATATACATCTATATATAATTGTATATATATCTCCCTTGATAACTCAGAAAGTTCACAATAGCCTTTTGTTCTCAGAAACTCATCCTTCTTTCAACAATGGATAGCCTCTTACCTTTCGATCACCAATTATACTCTCTCTACATGGACGACATGAACAACAGCCAGGGTTTCTACATAACTCCGTCCGAAGACGGTTCCGCGTTGGTGGCGGGCGTCAGGCCGGTCGCCGGAGATCACTCCGGTGACGACCACCGCGAGAGGGCGGAGCGGGCCGCCAGATTTGCGGTGGACGAGCACAACAAGACTGCAGCAGGGGAAAAGGATTTGCTGGAATTCCACGGGATAATGAATCTCAACTGGCAACCGACGGTGTGCGCCATGTACTACATAACCATGCAGGCGACGGATTCCGACGGCGAGCCGGCTTACTACGAGGCTAAAGTATGGGAGAAACTCAGCAGTGGGTATAAAGTGGAGTTATTCAGGCCAGCTCCCTACTGTTTAAAACGTATAGGTAACTAATTAATTAATTAATTAATTAGCAATTAATCAATTAATAATATCTTAATTAAGTATCTATATATAAACTTGTGGATTGTGGTGTTGCAGATGCTGTCATAGAAAACGTTTGTTGTGTTGGGATTAATGGCTTATTGCCCTGGATGAATGAAAGCTACTTGTTCTATAAGTGCTTCTATAGGATTCGTAGTGAGGTAATTTTCCAAATTAATATCTTTTTTTTTTTTAAATCAATAATTTTGTATTAGTGAAAATTATTATTTGGTATTTTTTACTTAATTATAAGTGTTTTTGACTTTTTTTTGGTGTTTTCAGCTTCTCGGAGTCAGTATTATTCGCGGTGAGGAATGGAATTTTTACAGAGGCGTTTTATGGTTCAAAAGTAGGGCGGAATTAAAGGAGTGTTTGAAGAAGTACGTCGGCGAAACGATGCCGTGTAGCAACAAAGTATATGATTTTGATTTTTGATAAGGACACTTTGTCATATAAATTGTGTTCTTTAGGGTTTTTGGGCAATATTTTTTTTTTTACATCTTATCATGTTAAAATTTTAATAGATCGTTAGGTTCAATACTGTTTATTGAAGTTTTTCTATATATTTAATTAGTGATTGATTTTATTATATATAAACTCTATTTTTTTTTTCTTCTTCATGTTGTCTTGGTTAGTATATCACTCTTTCGATTTTAGCTTGGGGAGATTGGAATTATTACCCTCCAATAAATCCGTCAATTCTTTTCTTAAGTGAAAAAAGTCAAAAACTAATTTCAATTTCAACTTCTACTTTTTTTTTTTTTTTGATCTTCTAAAAGAATGTAAAAACTTTGTTCTAAAATCAAACATATTCTGGTCGCAATAGATAAAAAAAAAAATCATTTAATTAAATATATTGTAAAATACATAAATATTATTTTGAAATAAAAATATAAATCGAATCGAAAATCGAAATGACACTTATAATGTATTTGGAGTATATTCAATTGTCGGTGTTGTATTTGATATTCATAGTATAGCCCGGCCCTTTGACGAATGGGCCTATTAAAGCCCGATTAGAATTTCTGAATAAGCCCATAATAAATTATAAAGTCTTCATATTCCGCGTCTTCTTAATTTTCTCCTCCAAAGTTCGAAGGTGAAAGGTAATCTCAAATTAAACTCTGATATAATTCTGGATCAGTTTCGAAGCTCTATTTTGTTTTTGTTTTTATAATTAAATTGTTACTTTATGATGCGAGAAAAAACGATTGCAACTTTGAGTTTTGATTTCTCTGTGGCATTTTATCGAGCAGTTTATCGTATCCGTGTTATCGGATTTTGTTGTTTATTTTTAGGTTTTACACTGAATTTCAAATGTATGATTCTCAGTTTGAACTATCTGAGTCGTTATGTTTGATTTGAATTAACACTTTTTAGGCTGAAGTTTGATTGGTTTTGGAAGAAGAATTGGCCAAACAGCCTGTCCGAATCGAATTGTATTATTATTCGGGGTTTTTCTTTTTTCCTTTTCATATTGCTAAATAGATGCCCAAATCGAATGATTACGATGCCTTGTGTTATGGCTGTTATTGGTTTTTGTTGATGTTCATCTGTGGTTTAGATAAATAACCTGTTTGATATGTCTGTTCGTGTTGCCTCTGTGTCAGATAAAGTTTCGGTTTCATTTATATAGAAGGGATTTAGACCTAAAGATTTTGAACTCGTAATAATAATCCACTAAGCTCGTCTGGATGAATTCGTCTTACTATGGATTCCAAATTCTTAGCTCTCTATTCGAACTAGCCTTTGAGTTGTTGTAGTAGATTTAGAATCCATGTTCATTCTCCCCAAATTCGCTCGTAAAATTCGAATGATCCAAATTCAACCTTAATGAAGGTTGCAGAATTTATGTAACTAATGAAATCGTCTTTATTATTTCCCATTCAGCTGCAACATGTACTTGATGCCGTTGCTTTCGTTACTACGTTCTTTTTTTTATTGTTTGAGAATCTTTGGTGATGTCATCGTACGGTACTAAATGATGTTTATTGGCAGTTAATAGCAACCACCACCAATGGCAACTGAAATAAACCCAAACGAGAAGCCATCATCTGCAGCTCCTAATCCAGCCATGGCTTCGTGCAGGAGGAAGAAGAACGAAAGTGCTACTTTCTTGGAAGATGTGAAAGACCATATTGACGAGTTCATTAGTGCTTCTATGGACGAACACAAAACTTGCTTCCAGAAGACAATTAAGAAGGTTTTCCTTATCGACTGTTTCAATAACGTTTTGCAGCACAGTGATTTGTGATTTCTCTTTTCTCTTTCTTGTACGTATTATAACTCGTGTGTAATCCTTGATGCTTCCGTAGATGTTCAGCATGTCAAAGGTTGTTGCAGAAAGGAGTTCCGAGACGAAGGAAGTGGAAAGTTCTTTGCCTCTTCAAACAACAGTTGCCGAGTAAGGTGCACTGAATCTTTCTTGCTTTGACTTTGCATCAAGTCAATTCGTTTTGAGCGGGCACCAGATTTTGGGTATTTGAATGTGTAATCTTTTATAGAATCGGTTATGGTAATTATCCGACTTTTTCAGTATAATAATGTCTTTGCACAATCTAGAAAGTAGATAGTGATTATGAATAAATTAAATTGAGTAATATTTTTTTCAATTATTTATGGGTGAATTGCATATATAGCAAACTAGAGTGCATACACCGGCTAAAAATCACGTAATTTTTGCACTACATATGAATTATTGATACAAATTTGAGATCACGTCAGCTTATGTTTCCTTACGAATTCCATTATTGTGTAAGGATGTAGTAAATGTCGCTAACTATAAAAATTGGGTCTATAGTACCACGTGGAGAGATGGGGGATGCATAAAATAATAAACATTGCGTAATGATAACCATGTAGCTGATTATTGAAGTCGACTATAACATTTGCTCGAATGATCTATTTAAAGGCCGAAGCAATCGGTTTACTTACTAATGCTCATGGAGTACTCGATAGAAGTGGCATACGTATTGTAACTGTTTGTTGCTTTGGTAATTTTGTGCATATCATGTAGCCGTTTAGTATGGATTGCATTCGTAGTACTTTTGAGCATTGATAATACTTTTGAGCATTGATAATTTGAGCTTATTGTTACATGTTTACAACGACGAATCATCGTCGCATGCAATAATCTAATCCTACCAATTCAGCTTTTGAATGTATACATATAGGTCATCATATTTATCTATGTTCTTATCTAGATGTAGTCTGCTATAAATCCATTTATCTAATTATGCGTGCATACTTATTGAAATTGCGGGATACATTTGGGTCAGTGGAAGAGATGGGTTGGAAAAAGAAGGTACGTTTGGATGCGATCATAATTTAATCAATATTTTTTAATTTATTTATGAATATTTAATAAAAATTGGTTTTTGGGGGGTAGTATAGTCATTTTAGCTAAGTCAACAATCAAACGGCGTATAGGGGGCAGTGTGCTATACCACACACTATACCAAACACGACATGGGGGGGTCCTTCATAATTTTTATAACACGGGGGGTTTTCGCCAATTAGAAATGAACACAGGAAAGTGTATTTTATTTTTTTTCATGCACTACATAAGATAAATTAGGATTTAGGATCATAAGAGAATTTTCCCCAACATCAACCACCCATAATACAATGCTAAACAACAATACCAGAAAATAGTACAAAAAAAAAAAAGACTAACTTTTGGTGGGAAACTAATTAATAATGCTAATCACTTTTAAGTTGTATTACTCATGCAGCTTTGGCAGTACAAGCCATTGAAGAAATGCGTGCAAAGTCGTGTTTCGTAACATACTTAACAGTAGCACTGCGTACATCACCTCTTGTCCGATCTCCGATCGTCTGCGAGTTTTCTTCAAGTTTCATCTTTTTTATCGCCTCCCTTCTTCGATCATGGTCCGCAATCCTAACACAAGCCAAATTAATTTCTGTTAGATCACTTGCATAAATCATGTGTGTGTGTGTGTGTGTTTGTGTGTGTGTGTGTGTGTGTGTGAGAGAGAGAGAGAGAGAGAGAGAGACTCTTTGTAAATAGCAAGAGGATCACGAGAGATCGATGAAAGACAGAGTGGAAGGCCACAAGTGGTGAGGATTGGTAGCATTTTTGTTTTCTTTCTTTCGTCTTGTTGGAGAAACAATACGAGATAGATGTATGTAGTGTTGAGAGGGATTCCTGGACTTTTGGGGTTAAATGGTAATAAATTATTTTGGGGGGACTGATCTTAAATAGTAAAATGGAGGATGGGTTGAGATAGAGAAAACATTAAAGGCACATTTAAAAGGCACAGTGGTGTGTAGGGAACAATAATAAAGACTAAAGAGGAAAAATCTGTCATACTTCCCTTTCATCTGAACCGGGGATAATGTCGTGCTGTCTCAATAGTTATTTTGTACCCGCCTAGCTGTGTAGATGTCGTTTGTGTTTTACGGGTACGGTTTTCAATACTTCACTCTCTACCGTAGCGTTTTTCTCTCTAAAAAAACAATACTCTCAACTTAATCGAACTGAGTTCATCGAATCCTGTTGTGATCTACTTTCATGAAGTGGTAAAACTAGTTTTTCAATCGATTTGGGATGATCGGAAAATTGGAAGGAATTAAAATTTTGTTGGGTGCAAGGAATCGAGATAATTGTTCGTCCTAAATGACTTGTTTTTCGTCTTGGTCATGGTGGAGCAGATGTTTGCTTAGAGGGTGTTCTCGAATTTTTTCTATTACTATAAATATTTATAAAAGTAGTGAAAATAAGTAAATGATTACATATTTTAATTACAATTAACATTTATTAAAATAGATTGTGCCAAAATATGAATACTGGCTCTCCTAAATTAGATTTTCTTCTTGGACTATGGGCGTGTAGCTAAATAAATTTAGACAATTCACACTTTATGTTCAAGTTTATAAACAACCCTTAGCTTCAAGGGGTGATTGTAATTATGAATTATCCAAACAAATTGGGTTTTTTCGTTATTTAACTTTATCTTAGGAATTTTTAGTAATTTACCTTTTTATTAAATTGTGATAAGCAGTAAGCACGGCTAACAAAACTAAATTGGGGTTCTCCTTAACAAAGCTAGGCCTATTGGGTTGGACTCGTAACATTTCCTGGACTATTTTGTTAGACCCACTAAACTAATTTGACAACATATAATAGTACAACTATGCAAGCCCAATTTATAAACCAATTTCAAATTGCCACGTTTTTTAAACCTATTTTATATATTAAATTACAAACTAAAATGTTAAATTGAATTGAGGATCGACGGTAGCTAGTCATCAAAACCGTAGATTGTAAAAGTGAACAAGTCGGACCCAACAACCCGTTGAATATGTCAAATCCGAAAAAAAATCCGTTATTCTAGGACCGACAGATACGATTGAGTCCTGAAATGGAGAAGATCCGCGAGTTGGTTTCTAAGACGAGTTTAATTTTTTTTTTTAATAACCATGAAATCCGCCCCGCCCCATCATACAAAACAACGTCGTATTGTTTATCATATGAACTATATAGCAAGTTAATAATATATGTTATACGAATAAAATATCTGCTAGGTGTCAAAACTTCTATGTGTAACTCTTTACTTTTAACGGATTCATGGTTAGAATATATTAATTTTAATTTACTCTTGACATTTATCGTTGAAAGACAGTCATACAAAGTAAACACAGTATTTGAATTAGTGTAATCCCACGTTAAAACATATGATATATGTTATATTCCTTTATATTTGACATTTTACACACCAAAATGCACTCTGTATAGTTATTATTCAGATTAAAAAAAAATTCAGAAATATTGCTTTATTATAAGTTTTCTCAAAAAAGAAAAAAGAAGACAAGAAAAAAAGAAAAGCAACTCCAAGGGTTGAATTGGTCAACTTTGATCGTCAAGGTACAACACTCCGAAGCATACCATTTTCTTTTGATAAGTCGATGCATACTATTTTGGCAGCACGCGATATCTTTAATTTAATTTAATTTAATTTAATTTAATTGAGCGCAGACAAAAAATTCACGACTTTACCTAAAAGAAGTATTAAGAAAAACTAAACACAACGGGAAAAAAGGGGGCAGTAACATGGATGCAGGTAGACCTGACCACGGTTCGGTTCGGTTCCGGTTCCGGTTCCAAACCGCCGGTTCCGGTTCCGATCTTGGAGGAACCGGAACCGAACCGAAAAAATCCGGTTCCAAACGGTTCGGTTCCAAACCGGTTCCGGTTCGGTTCCGGTTCGGTTCCCGGTTAGAACCGTAGAACCGTCCGGTTCTAATATAACTTTTTTTTTTTTTTTTTCTAATTTTTTTTTATAATTTTAAAATTACTTAAGAATAATTATACTTATATTAAAATATAAAATGTATACACAAATTCTCTAAAATTATTTACAGACTTACAGACTTATGCTCTTCAATTTTTATTTTTAATATATATTATATTTACTTAAGAAAGACTTAAAAAATAGTTATTTAAAAAAAAAAATACTTCAAAGACTTTAAAAAGTAATGTTTTTCTTACAGTACTTCAAAAATATTTTTGTTAATACTTCAAAAATATTTTTCTCCTTAAAAAATTAAAAAACAAGAAAAGGAAAGAAATTAAAAGGGCTTGCACTTATTTTTAAATTTTAAAGTTTAAAGTTAAACTTTAAATTCTATAGATCCTCTACGAGACATATTGAGATTAATAGAGAAAATAATAGAGAATAATAAATAATAAATTAAAAATAATTTTTTTATGAGAATGGGAATTATACGAAATTATGAGAATGGGAAAATATATAATATTGATAAATTATATGTATATTATATTGCTAAATGAGGGCAAAAAACGTGATAATTGCTAATAGATTGTAATAAGAAGGGAGGAGAAGATAATTGGTGAATTGGTGAAGAAAAATGAATAAAATAAGTGGGTATTTATAGTAGGAAAAAAAAAAACTTTTTATTGTTATTTATAAAATCTGACCGTTCAAAAAACTTTAGAACCACATGCATTTCCTTTTTTTTTTTACTTAATCTGACCGTTACAAATTGCCATGTCATCAATATTAATATAATTTTTTTTTTTTTTTAAAAGTGACCGTTCCTTTGGAGTCCAAAGTTTGGACTGGAGTGGACAATTGGGGCCTTTTTTATTTATTGTTTTAATAAAGCTGACTTTTTATTAATATTTTATTATTTGAATTTTTTTTTAAAAACCGGTTCCAACGGTTAGAACCGCGGTTCTAACCGGCGGTTCTCGGTTCCAAAAATGAGGAACCGGAACCGAACCGGTTTTTTCGGTTCCGGTTCCGGTTCTGGTCAAACCGGTTCCGGTTCGGTTCCAAAACCGTTGACCCCGGTTCGGTTCCGGTTCCGGTTCCGGTTCTAACCGAACCGGTGGTCAGGTCTAGATGCAGGCAACCAAAACCCGGACGCGTCTGCCGAAAATAAACCGTGATTCATAAACCGACGATACGTCCGGAAAATTTGGTAGATTCCCCTTCCGGCTGGTCTTTTGGGTTAAACAAACACACAGAAACACCTTTCACTCTGTGTGTGTATATGCGAGAGAGATACAGATACGGAGGGGGAGATAGAGCGACTCGGCCCCTTTTGTAATTCTACTCCTGAAACCCTAATTTCACTTGTGGGGCAAAAAAACTATCGGTTATTTGCAGAACTTGCACCGTTTCTATTATTTATTTCGGTATGCTTTTTTACTGTAAGATTGACCTCTCATTACTTAGTTGTATCTGAATGTATTTTTTTTTCAATTAAGAGATTTTTCGTTTTTGTGATGTGAGCGGTTTGGATTTCGATAGCTGATTTTTGTTTGTTTCCAATGGATCAGTTGTAGTTTGAGAGGGTTCATGGGCATTGTTGACTGGAAATTGCTGACTGCCTGATTCTGTGAAGCTCTGCCGCGGCGGAGTGAGTTCCGGTGGAAAGGATGGATGTTGTGGCTAGTTGTAAGGTAAATTTGATCTTGCTTCAAGGTTTTATTGCAAATAGTTTGCATGAAGTTTTGTTTTCCCGTTTGGCTTGTGCAATTGTGTTTTGATTTGAGTTCTTGAGTTTTATGTTTGGTTGTCGTTTATGGTGGCTGTATTTGATAGTGTTGTTGATGATAATGCTAGAAATGACATGTAGTTAGTTCGAACAATGTGTTTTGAAGTAGAAATGAGCTGTTTCAGCAAGTGTCGATTGAGTCCATTTGTAGGAGCCATGCACGTGTAATTAATGCAGAAACTTCTTTGAGATACGACGTAACAATAATTACTGCTACTTTTTTTTTTTTACTTAGTCGTCTTTGCAAGATTGAGCCAAAATGTAATTATATGAAGCACGAGTCTTAACCTACTGTAATTAAAATCATTGGCTGATTAGTGATTACGTATTGAAATACGTAGCAGTGACGTCATTTGCAATTACTCTACCAGGGCTTTGTTAAAATCTTTGTGTAAGGATATGTGCTATATTTAGCTTGTCAATTGATAAAGAATTCTGTGAAGTATTGAAATTTAGAATTTGAAAACTTTCCTTTTTCTAAAGATTATTGATTCATGATATGAAGACCTAATTCTGTGAATCCTGCTAATGCGGTAGGTCGGAGTTATTTAAAAAAACAAAGAGAAGTAGATGGCATATATACTGAAGGTCCTTACTGTATAAAAGACTAAAAAAATCATAGGAATGTATAGCAAGAAGAATCCTTAGCCGCCTGCTGTCATCATCTTATTTTCCAATTTAATTGAAAAGCTGAAAATATGCCTGATTTCCCCCCCTTTCCCCCCCTTTCCCCTTGTTATCTCCTTCCCTTTTCATTCTTTAATTCCATCACTTATTGTTTTGTCTTTTTGCGTACGTGTCACATATTTGAGTGCTCTCCATTTCCTCTGGCGTTGCCAATTGTTGTCAGAAGATGAATTTTGGTAAAGCAAAACTTAGAAATTTTTGAAGTGCCTTGGGTTGCAATTTCTGCATTGAAACTACTGTTTGTGTTTTATTCGTAGGAGTGAATTTCTTGCAGCCAATATAATTTATACCTGGTTATCAGGTTTTCTGTTGTAGTTATATAAATTTGTTCCATACTTAGAGATATATTTCAGTTACCATGTAAACAATGTCGTAAATTGTGATAGCAATTAAAACTTTCTTAGGTTAGAAAGAATGTGAAATCAATAGGCTGCACCTGCTATAAAAGCTTTTATATTTGTAATATCCGACTTATCAGCACTCTACTGAATGGAGATCCCCGATGAAGTTGATGAGTTATGTTTTGGGTATCACCACACTTCTATGCTCAGAAAAGTGCTGGACAAGAGTAAATTAATGTGTCCTATTATAAGGATATCTATTGAAAGAAATATGTACAATAAATTACATACATCCTAAATAAGAATTGGAAGCTTCCAATTATGACTGAATATTTTCTATTGAATTTGGTATTTTGGTTGCAAATATTGCAAAAATGAATCAGCCCAAGTCAGGGTTGAAAGTTTATGGTTACGAGCGATCCGGAAACTCATTATATACTTCTGGAAAGAGGCTACTTCATTATCACGAGGCTGTTGCCTATGGTTGCCAAGAGGGCGGCAGCCTTGAATAAAGATGTATGCTTCTGACAATCCTCACCCCGTCATTTGTGCCTCTGGAAACAATATCTGCTAGTAGGTTTTGGACCCTTGAATATGAGATGGGTCTGATAACTGATTACTAGAGTATCCGAGGCAGTTGCTGTGCACGAGGTACATAAAATGATGCGAGTGAATGTGTATGTATATGCGAAGGAATACTGGAAGAATATGTTATCTCAAGGACCATTAACTCGGACAGGAATGCGTACCTAAAAAGCTGATAAAATTCTAATTTGGAGAAAAATTTAGAATATTTTCTTATGAGTGGAAAGGGATGGAGGTCATGCTTGCTAAACTTTATCATTCATTTTGAAGGAATATTACCTTTCTTGTCCTTTTTGGTTGGTGCAGATTGATATGTTGAACGCCTTTGTAAAATAACTATGTGCTTAAACTTTGCATCATCACTAAGACACTAACTTTCAAACTGTTAACCTCTTCATTTGAGAAGGCTTTTCTTCCTTCATTTTCTTCAAATTGCTTATCCTCTTCCATCCACTTTGCGAAAACCATCAATAAATCATATATCTGATTGTTCTATCCGCCTTTGCCGTATGGACTTTGGTTCTCCATATGTTACTTACTGTTTGCTGCTTTAGATTTTTTACTATTTTCTTGTCTTGGGTCTTCTAATAATGTGACTTCGTAATTATTCATTGTTCGCTTGTCTTTGGCTTGTTAGAAAGAGGGCATTTGGAAGAATAGTTTTGTGTTCTGTCAGTGACATGAAAGGTCTGAATGATCTTATTTTTCTTGCAGGACAAATTGACGTATTTTAGAATAAAAGAGCTTAAAGATGTCCTTACACAGCTAGGGCTTTCAAAGCAGGGAAAGAAACAGGTTAGAGTGCAATATATTGCTGATATTCGTGAATCTGTATAAACAGGAGCTTATGGGTTATTTCCCACTTCCAAATGTCCTCTCTCTAGTTTGTTTATAGTATAGGCTTGACAATTCGAGATGGGTACTAAAGATATATTTAGTTGCTATGCTTTTTTATGTTTCATAATCTCTTAATTTATTGGTGTTCATTTTTTTTGAATTGTTTTTCACACACGTCTTTTCATGTTTATACAGTAAGTCCTTCTGTAATTTGGTCTTCACCAGTTATCCAAACACTTCACTGATGATTTGCATTACTTGAACTTTGGGTCAAATCTGGATTCAGATGTCTTCAATTTATTTTTGGTTTTACTTTGGCCTTTGGATGTTGTGAATATCAAGTTACTTCAGGACCCATTTATATGTTTCACATAATTTAGCTAGCATTTTTATTGCTTTTACTATTAGACTCGTGTAATATTTTCTGCTTTTGGGATATGCTTAAAATGAAATAAGTTATTATTGTTTATCTTCATTGACTTGGAACAGGACCTTGTAGATCGAATATTGGCCATTCTCTCTGATGAGCGAGGTAAAATGGCTCTCTTTATTACTCTATCTTCCAAAAATTTATCAAATTCGTTTTACGAGGAAAAAGCTATTTTCATCAATATACAAGTGCTTGTGTGATAAAAAAATGATTCTAGAACTTAAGCAATCTCACTTGGCACTGTTCATATAAAAGTATATGTGCATAAATTATTTCATGTTTATAAGTTGTTTAGAGGAAATAAAGTAGCCAATATTAGATCCTCGAGAAAAAGAAGTAAAAATGGTGGATAACAGAGTAAGTTCTTGAAAAAGTTGCTGCTCGATTAGTGAATTATTTTAATTTAAAATTGTAATATCACTCTGTTCCATCTTAAAGGATCTATTGATTAGCAACCAATTAAGTGAAAATTGCTTAAATCTATTAATAGGCCCAGAACGGTGCGAGCCTGTCGCCACAGCTGACGCTGCCGTCTTGTCGGCTTCTTTGGGGCCTTTTTTT